GGGGGGTCAAAGATATCGAGGAAAAGAAAATTGGACACTTTTCACCCAAACATGCTATTCAAATTTTGAGTAATAATTATCCCCGGTTAGATTAAGATCTCATACTAATTAAATTAGTCCAAGGGGCTGTAAAACTAGTTTTATTAAACAAAAACAACAAATATTTATACGCAAACGATGAAATTTAATCTTGTCGTTGAAAAAATCTAACTGTTCTTAAAATATTTTTAATTTGGAATATGTGATCAAGGCTTATTTTTTATTATGAACAATTAATATACATCAGTCTTCTTTTGAATTTAGGGCGAGATATCTGCACATGGCATGTGCCGATGAAAATAATGCCTTCAGGGATAAATATTGAGTTTAAACGAACCATTTTGTTTAAACCGTGGTGGTCCATATAGATTGATTGCTCACCTATTTATAGAAAAAGCATGATTTCCGATTTTTAATTTAAGGAACATGAAATAGCCAATTTTAACCCTCTAAAACTCTCTGTCCGGGAGAATTAATCGAAACGTTAAAAGAAAAACATTTGACAATTAAAATTACTTGATTCAAATCTATACCCCTATTAATGGATTACTATTAAGATTGACACTGGCCAGTCAGGTGTCCACGTCGTCCACGGAAATGCGTACCGTGAAAACTGAACTAAATGTTTAACTCAAAATCTCAAACTCTAGGATATAATCGCTGCTAAAGTTTGAGAAAGACCTATACAGCTCCATATTCTTTTTCTTGAATTTATCATGTATATCATTTTCTTCGTAATTGTCCAGAAAGATGAAATTCGTTGAAATTTTGAAAAAATTTTAAAAACCGACTTGAGTTTGATCCTAAAAAACGCCAAAAAATGTATATTTTTTCAAAAAAAAGAATTAAAGACGGTTTTTTAGATTCCACTCATTTATTTTTGATATTTTTTTCAAAAATTTTCAACGGATCCAAGTTCTAAGATTGGTAATGAAGAATGTGATTTGTATAATCACAATTTCATAAAAAAAAATTTTTTTTACTTTCTTAAGAACTTTTTAAAACTTTAATAGCGGTTATCTCCTAGAATTTAAGAGGTGTTCGACTTAAAACTTTCAGGAATTACTCACAGTATTTAGTGCACAATAGGAAAAGTTACCGCGCTAATCGCGCGCGCCATTTTTTAAAATAAGTAGTCATTTGTGGACACCTTTCTGGTCAGTCAGTGAATCCATAAAAGTAAGAGTTTCAGCTGACAATTTGTCTAAAAAATCACTTCACCTCCATATTCGTATGTTGCAGTATAAATTTCCGCACTACACCGATGAATTCTACTGGAGTGGCGCATATTCTAGAACATACAACACTCTGCGGTTCAAAAACATTCCCAGTCAGGTAAACAAATCAATTTATCAAATAATAATTTAGAATTTTTTTTTCAAATTATTTATAAATCAATCTTTAAGTCAAATGATTAGTAAGTCAATTTTAAATTAAAGTATTATTAAACCAATCAACAAATCAAATAATAGTAGATTAATAAATCAAATCATAAAAAAATCAACTACCTATAACAAATTCACACTTTTATTTTAATCTTGTTATTTTACTCGAATTGAGATAAAGTTACACTGAAATATTTAAAACAATTTATATTTTAGAGATCCGTTTATGAAAATGTTGAACCGATCACTCTCGACATTTATGAACGCTATGACAGGAATATAGCTTTTAAAAAAGTTTATTTATTGCCGTAAACCGAATTTATAGTACATAAACAATTGTGTAGGGGTGTATAAAATCATTTACTCACTTCCCCCATTTAAAAATATTTTATCCCCAAGAAGTTTGGTATGTTTGCCAAAAATTATTTTTAAGGAAAAATAAAAAATTGAATATAAAGTATCAAAATAATGAAAAACTTTCTATTCAAATTGTGATGCGGGTTGCATTCTGGTTTAGGTTTCGGTAAACCAAAGAATGAGAATTGTGAATTTGTCAAAGTAAGATGACTGACGAGAAACCGAAAGAAGTTGCGATTTTCTTAGTAACAAATCAGACGAAATTTCATCTTAGAATTTCAACTGTGTTTTTAAATTCTTCCCACAAGATGCAGTCTTTTCCTTTTTTAAAACTGTTTTTAAATTGTAATTAATTAAAGCATAATATTTATATAAACCTGTTTAGTGCAAATACATCAATAATTATAGTATTTGGTTTGTTAAATAATCGATTTTTTTAACTTATCAACTTTAAGAAATTATTCATGCTTTTTGGAGTGGCACTGTAAATAGTTCCTTTCATTAAAGTATAGAGATAAAGAGTCATTATCCTCCCACCCCGTTCCTTCCACCCATTTCCTGTCTTGGCTATCTTAGCATACTATTACGTATGCAGTTTAATTAATATTTCGGCGTAGAGGTCACTGTGTCTATATAGAAAGGTGAAAGAAAATATCATTCTGCGTGCTTTCTTTCACAGGCTACATACATATATTAAATTAACTTCATGCAAGCACCTTGGTAGCGTGAGAAATGTTTTTAAAATCTAAATTTACCTGAATCCACATGTGTACTCACTACTCAAGTTCGCATAAACTCGACAATATTTTCTCTAATTTCCTTTAATTTAATTACGAATATTTTTGTTTGAATAATGGCACTTTTATGAATTTCTTTTATTAACACCAAATGGTCGAGATTAATTCAAACTCAGTTAGAAATACGAATCTTTCTCCATACTAAGATTTAAAGGGTGCGTTCTATAATTATTATTGTAGAATGTACTTCAATTACTTATATTATTTTTATAAAGCTTATATCTAGGACCTGATTATACACTGTATCCATTTTCTACTTGTAACCACCAGGTAAAGTACTCCAACTTTTCCCCGTTGTTAAGTTAATATTTTGTAGAAAATAATCCCCCTTCCCATTTCAAAAAATCATTTTCCTCCAGTACGTTAGAATTGATGGGCCAAAAAAATGGGGGGAAATAAATGAAAATAAATGATTCTAAGAAAACTTGGAAAGATAAAAGGTTACAAGTTTATACCAATTTCTCATTTGCCCCCAAATCTTAGAAATTATTTTCTCTGAGTAAAGGGAGGGAGGGGGGATTTCAATTATGAAAAGCCAAATAATGTCTCCCTTATTTTTGATTTTTTTTGTCTATGCAAGTCAAGGAAAGCTTTTTTTTCCCTATCTAATAATTTGACCAAACAAAAAACTGTTATTTTTCCTCACGCAATGTTACAACGCACTAAGAATTTTTACATAACACTAAACTTCACAGCAGAGTTCAAGCTTTTTTTAGTAAAAGTACATATAATCCATGGGAAATAATGAGAAAAGATTTTCAGCCCTGCACCGGACTTAAAAGTAAAAGAGTCAATTTTTTTATTAAAAATTAATTCTATTTTCTTTCGATATTTTTTAATCACTCCTGAGCTCGCGATTTAAAAAATTCGGGGAAATACGGCTCGGGTCTAAGCTGTCGTTGGACCTTATTTACGGCTTGAGCTTTCAGATTAAAGCGGCATCTTATTTTCCACAGAGTTGAATTTAAAAAACCGGTTTAATATTCTATTTGGCGGATTTTCATGGTAGGAATTGGCGCATTCCCAGTTTTTATGAGAACAAGACGCAACATTGACTAAAACCAATCAAGGTCGGTTTTATTTTCATTGGGCTTAACTCCTTTAGTCGAGCCGAATATATTGCAGCTGTCAATCACGTGACACAAGCTGTTGTTAGAGTTGGGTCGAAGATTGGGTCTTAATTACGACTCGAGCCGAAGCTATTAAATCGCGGGCTCTGGGCTGAAAACTTTAGAATGAGATATCCTTAATCCCGATTGTTTAATCTGAGTTTCCAATGTTCATACTTTTGTTTTTAATCTTAGATTGAACAATTACGTTCAATTGCAAAGTGAGCTGTTCACAAACCTTTTGAACAAGCATTGAAACAAAATTAAAATTAAGCTTATTTTAAGCGTCTGTCCAAATTATGTTGGTTCAACTGAACGCGAGTCCAATTGATATGACATTAGAAGTGAGGGCAAATCAAAATCTGGTGTTTCAAAATTAGAGAGCTCTTATCTCCCATCTCTGTAATTTCAATTTAAAATTTTCCGGCTTCTGATATGCCTCTCTGATTGGTTGAATTTTATACACTTTTCAGCATGCAAACAAAAGATTAAGTTAGTCTCGAGATTAAGAAAAAGTGTTCGGCTCTGAGCTGGTATCTTTTGTGTTCGAATCGATTCTAATCTCAATCGCTTGATCTCGATATCCACTGTGGGAACTTTAAATTTTCGAATTAATGCTTAATCTTTTCATTTTAGTTTGAGTCATCCCTTTAGAGTACACTTGCACTGCGGATATCGAATTAAGATCAAATTAATCTGCGAATTATCATAAGATCAAGAATCAATCTTGATCTCCACAATACACGAGTTCCCAGCTCTGATCCTCTAAACCATTCATATTACAATTCCTTTAATCCCTCAGAATCATATAATCCTATTTTCTAATCCTTGTTTCTCAGGATTATCTGAACCTAATGAACGTATACCTGGATTCAGTATTTAATCCTCTATAATCCTTGTTTCTCAAGATTATCTGAACCTGATGAAAGTATACCTGGATTCAATATTTAATCCTCCAGAGTCTGTATTTGATCCTCTATAATCCTTGTTGCTCAGGATTTTCTGAACCTAATGAACGTATACTTGGATTCAATTTTTTATCCTCTATAATCCTTGTTGTTCAGGATTATCTGAACCTGATGAACGTATACCTGGATTAAGTATTAAATCCTCTATAATCCTTGTTGCTCAGGATTATCTGAACCTGATGAACGTATACCTGGATTCAGTATTTAATCCTCTGTAATTCTTGGTTGCTCAGGATAATCTGAACCTGATGAACGTATACCTGGATTCAGTATTTAATCCTCTATAATCCTTGTTGCTCAGGATTATCTGAACCTGATGAACGTATACCTGGATTCAGTATTTAATCCTCTGCTCCGGGAGCAGGATTTCCTCCAGGAAGGTTGGAGACTGGAGAACGACGAGCTGGAGGATAAAACATCTCCTCTTATTATTAAAGGTAGAAAAATCATTTTTTAAAACTCTTTAGTTTTTGAAACTTTATCATCTTTTCGGAGATTGAAACATACAAATGTGAGATTCTTTATAGCAGATATCTTTTAAAGCTTTATTTAACATTGATAAATCTTCTGAATTGTCATTTTGGCTTCTTGGATCCGGATTCTGACTCCTATAAATAGTTTGATCTATTAAGGAGTTGTATTTAACGAGATGAAAGGAGCGTACTCGGACTCCCAGCAGTTGTTCGGACAGAAGCTATTGAATAGTATGCTTCCTGGCCATACATATAGTTATTCATCAGGAGGTGGGTTTACTTTTTCATACAATCAAACCCAGGTGGTTTAAACTTCATTCATCCCCGTCCCCTCTTTAAATTTTGTTTTCTCTACAAGTTAAGTTTATTAAAGCGGAGCGCCATAATTTTTTAATGTTTTATTGGGGAAAATTAGGTTAAGGGGGATAAACAAACTTTGGANGTGAAAATTCTTAAAAATATAAACTTCTGATGGGACCTAATACACGACCCATTTCAATCACACAAAACATTTGTCAAGCTAGTGATAAACTATTTGCTTTATAACATCAAATGTACATTAGATTGCTAAGTAATTACTTCCTTTTCATAAATTTTATAGAAGTTGAAATTAAACTATATTTTTCAGGATTTCCTTTAAATATTCCTGAGTTGAGTTGGGAGGAGCTGAAATCCTTCCATGCTTCTCACTACCATCCTTCAAACTCCAGGATATTCACCTACGGTGATATACCATTAGAAACCCATCTCTCCACCCTGGACTCGTATCTAGACAAGTTTCAATATCTTAATCTGAATACAGCTGTTCCTAAGGAAACAAGGTTAGTGTACTGCATGTTTGTAAACAATGAAAATCTTATCTTTCTGATAATAATTAGTTTCTGGGATTATTGCACAAATTCAATGAGATATACTTTGAAATACATGCAGCACTGGATAAAACTCGAAAAAGCTAAAAAATTATCGAATTCTAAAAATTCTTAAACCACCTAAATGCCCCAAGACTAATACATATGGCTTAGTTTCCGTCAATGAGATTGTTGGGCCTAGATCTTAAGAATTAGAGTGTTCGCTGAACTACCTACGGCTGGTTCAAATCCTAAATCACCTTTTTAAATCTTTAACTTTGATTGGGTAATAACGGGTTTAAAACTTTGCCTGAAAGCAATTTCAATTTAAACTTTTTGGAAAAGGCGCTAATTAAAACAGGAAATCTGCAAATTTTAAATTGTTAAGATTTTAAATGTTTGGCATACTGGTAGGAAGATTAGCACTAAAAGCTAATATTATTACAAGGAAAAAAAAAAATTTTACAACTCAAAATGTTGTGGACATTTCTGAAAATATTAATAGATTTCTAAAACTTAAAAATCGCATTTTTTTCTTTGCAAACTTTTTAACCTTTAACCATCCATAAACCTTTACTGAGGTTGTCATAAAAAAAATTGGGCCAGATCGGGTCAGCCGTTATGACGTCTATTGGACACAAACAAACAAACAAAAAACAGACAAGCAAAGTATATATATATATATACATATTTATATAATCAGTTCTTATAACAATCTTCTTATAACATAGATATATATATATATATATAAATATTTTGATATAAATATTAAGATGGTTGAGTCCCCGAAGTGAGAAAATGACATGTGCATCTGATTCTATGTCTCCTGATCCTTCTAAACAGAGCTCTGTAGCCGTCAGGTATTCGTTCAATCAACCAATCAATCAAAGAATAAAATACCCCATTCATCAATTGTTCTATCATTCAATTAATCAACCTCTTAACCTATTTATTAATCTATCTATTTAATCAAAAAATCATTAAGTTAATCAAACAATAAACATATTACGTTATCAACTTGTTAATTTGTTAAGCGACAAATCAATAAATCAATTATTTACAACTTATGAACTAATTAATTCAACTACTTATCAACAAATTAACCAATTAACTTATCAACCTGTAAAGTTTAATCATAAAACTAATCTTAAATCTCAAATAATCAGCCAATCAATCAATCACGATGAATTAATCTGTGCTTGCAATGTATACATTACCAGTAATTGTTGTTGTGCAGTTACTTGTTGTCTGATATCACAGAACTGAAGGAATCCTTCACGATGCAGGTTCTAGGAGAGCTGTTGACCGAAGGACCCAGTGCACCCTTCTACAAGTCCTTGATACAGACGGGGATAGGAGCTGGCTTCTCTCCAGTCACAGGTAGGTTACTCCAGGTTCTCAGGTGGAGAAAATTTTCCATGTTTTCCCCGGTCACAGGTTAACCTCCCCACTGATTGAGAGGATATGTACGAATTTTTGGATTATCAGCAATTTTCATATACGTTGTTAAAAACAATTTAGATTCTTCTTCAGATTCCAACAAAACCGGGAAGTGTAAATATTCTCCCGGGTCACAGGTGGACATTAGTATTCTCCTCGGTCNTATTTTAGAAAATAATTAATATTAGACTTTTCATTATTCTATTAAAGTTTTCTTTGTTTTCTTTAATTAGTGTCAATTAATATTGTTTAGGGTTAACAATATACGTTGTTAAAAACAATTTAGATTCTTCTTCAGATTCCAACAAAACCGGGAAGTGTAAATATTCTCCCGGGTCACAGGTGGACATTAGTATTCTACTCGGTCATAGGTGGACAACAGTTAACAGTTTCCCCCCCATTCACTTGTTTGTAATTGTAAGCATATTCTCTCCGGTCGCAGATGGACCATAGCTAACAGTTTGCCCTCGGTCACTAGTAAGTAACAGTGAACAAATTCTCCTTGGTCACAGATGGACATTAGTTAACAGTTTGCCCTCAGATAATAGGAGATAATAGTGTGTATATTCTCCCCGATCGCAGATGGACAATAGCTAACAGTGTGCCCTCGGTCACTAGTAGGTAATAATGAACATTGAACATATTCTCTTTGGTCACAGGTGGACAAAAGATAACAGTTTGCCCTCGGTCACAAGCATGTAATATTAAACATATTTTCCTCGGTTACAGCACGGACAATAATTGACAGTTTCGTCCCGGTCACTGTTAGGTAATATTGTAAATATTCCCCGGTCTCCTGTCTGACGTGAACTTATAAATATGTTCTAGGTTATGATAATCACATCAAGGAGACAACATTTACTGTTGGATTACAGAATATATCTTCCACTGATGTTAACATGATTGTGGAGAAGATTGAGAATACTTTTGATTGTCTTTCTTTGTCTTTCTTTGCCTTCTTTGTCTTCTTTGTCTTCTTTGTCTTCTTTGTCTTCTTTGTCTTTCTTTGTCTTCTTTGTCTTCTTTGTTTTCTTTGTCTTCTTTGTTTGTCTTCTTTGTCTTCTTTGTCTTCTTTGTCTTTCTTTGTCTTTCTTTGCCTTCTTTGTCTTCTTTGTCTTCTTTGTCTTCTTTGTCTTTCTTTGTCTTCTTTGTCTTCTTTGTCTTCTTTGTCTTCTTTGTCTTCTTTGTCTGCTATGTCGTCTTGGTTTTATTTGTTTTCTTTGTCTTCTTTGTCAGTTCCTTCTTAATCTCTTTGTCTTCTTTGCCTTAGCTTTGTCTCCTTTGTACAACTAATGGTTTAAAGTATTTTTGTATGCGGGAATTTATTAGGTAACTTATTAACTGCTGATTTATTCTGAAGCATATTGATTCTTAATTATTTATCAGGTTATTAAAGAAGGATTTTCTCAAGATAGAATAGACGCTGTTCTACACTCCTACGAGCTTGGATTAAAACACAGGTTGGAACAGTCCGTCGCCATAGAAAGGAGCTAAGTAACTTGTCCATCGGAGACCAAATTTAATGAATTTGAGCTACGTCGCTGCCGGTTCAAATTCGACCCACAGATTTAAAGTTAAAGATGAAAGAAGGATTTTAATTGGTGATTCAAATTTGAACCGGTGGTAGGCAGTTCAAATTCATGAAATAAATAAAGAGGGTTACCGTAGCATCACTTATATATACTGGAGACCAGATATTACTTTAAAAAGTTTAATTGTCATAAATCATTTTTAACGGATTTTCAACATTCTTCGCCTTCTGTCTGCTTATATAAAAAGATTTTTTTTCAAGAGAATTTGTGTTATTTGTCTTAAGATAATGAAAGAGAAAAATAGGTTCTTTTTATTTATCTTAATAATTGTTTTAGGTCGGGAAATTTTGGACTGAATTTGATAATGAACATGACAGCTTACTGTAATCATTCTACAGAACCATTAGAGTACCTTAGGTAAATACAATTTGTCTTAATATTTTTTACGTTTGTATGTTTTTTTTTTTATGAATTTAATGTTTTTACATTTTAATGTTTTTTAAGTTGTTAACGGTTTTTTTATTTATTTTAGAAAATAATTAATATTAGACTTTTCATTATTCTATTAAAGTTTTCTTTGTTTTCTTTAATTAGTGTCAATTAATATTGTTTAGGGTTAACAAGATCTTAGAATGGTTCAAAGCAAAGTTAAAGGAGGACAACACCTACTTACAGAAGAAGGTCAAGCAGTATTTTAAAGGTATTTAAGCTAGTTTTGGAATAGACGGCACAGATATCGGGTGGGGGGGGGATGGGGGGGTTACGACAAGACAAACTCCGTGGGAAAAACCTTGTTAAATATACTTCGTAAAAAACTCCAAACAAAATTCGAAACAAAATTCGAAAATTGCCGGTAAGAAATAAACGCCACAAAGAAACTCCGGAGAAACAACCTACCCCCACCTACTTTAAAATTAAACTTTACGTAGGATGATCCTGATATTTTTAGTTCAGTCATAACTTGCAAATTTCATTGAGTGATACATGCCTTTTTGTATCGTATCTGGATCCTGAATCCGTCAAATGAAAAGAGGATCCAGGTTCAGATCCAGATCCATATCCAAATAGTTTATAATGATCTCGAATTATTTATCTCAGATAACACTCACAAGCTGGTGTTGAGTATGGATCCTGAGGCGGGGTTCGTGGAGCAGGAGCAAAGGAAGTTCGAGGACTTGGAGCACAAGCTCAGAGCAAACCTGACACAGGAGGAGAAGTAGGGGCATTTAATATTCAATCAATCAAATCAATTTGTTTGATCGATAACGAAGATATTCATGTTTAACCATCAATGATCAAACTTGTAAGCTACTATGAAATCGATCCTTTATTAATTAATTATTTCGTTGGTTCATAAGAGTTTAACTTTCGATGGTACAATATTCGATTTATCCAAGAAAGAAACATGTTTAAAGCTGAAGGGACTCATAAATGTAAAAAACAGGGATAAATAATTTCCTTACAATCGTCTCTGAAGTCTCATCCTTTGTTGGTAACCCTGTACATTCAATTATGATTCCCTTTTTAAAATAATTTATGGAGTTACCTACTCCTTAAGTTTTTAATTCTATTATAATCTAGGGATGAGATAAGAAGAAAGAATCTTGAGCTGCTGGAGTCCCAGGACATGAAGGAGGATGCGTCCTGTCTTCCAACTCTCCGGGTAGGAGATATATCAGAGGAATACACGGGAACCAGTCTCACCCATCTCAGTCTAGCTGGAGTCCCCACACAGCTAGCCATTCAACCAACTAATCAAGTTTCATACTTTCGGTAACTTTTTACTTTTTCCGGAAAGAAATCAACCCTCCTAAAGTTTACACGTAACATTATTTAGCCAAGCTTAAACTTTTAACCCTAAAAAATAATGTCAAGTTAATAAGTGGATTCGGGCAGAAATATGAAATCTACACAAATATTGATATTTATCATTATTGTTGAGGTTTTTTATAGTGTTTGAATTGAACTATATTTAGGGCACTTATTAACACCAGTCATGTCCCCTTGGAGCTTAAACCCTACCTACCCCTCTTCTCTTCCTTCCTCTCAAAACTAGGAGCCAAGGATCTCAACTACGAGGTATTCGACCCAAGCAAACCTATTAAGCATGATAGATTTTTGATTTTTTTTTTTATGAACAAACCGCTCATAATTCATGAAACCTCAAATTCAGATTGGGGAAACTCGGGAAAAACACGGAAATGAGCTTTGATTTGAAATTCTAAGTTGACTGGGAAACATATCTAACATCGTAATTTACGACAAAGCATGGGTAAACGGCGGGAGTAACTGTGAGTACCCTGGGCAACTCAGGGTCCTCAAGCTAGTTCCGTTTTATAGTTTTATAATTCTAATATCTAATATTTTGTTCTAATATTATCTGAGGGAAATTTTTTTTATTGTAAAAAGCTGAATTTGGTTAACATATTCTTTTTATTTTGTTAAAAAGCGTAAGCTTTTAAGGAAAACCTATTGCATAGGAAAAATATTAAAATATAAAAAATTAGGTTCAAATTTATCATTTTCCCCCTAAACATCTGAAATTCATTTGATAATACGGGGAAAAACAACCCACCAAAAAATAATTTAAAAAGGTGGGGGGGCTTTATAAAGTGGCTGTTTTCCTCCATTAAAAAAGAAGGATATGCCCTTGAAACTAATCAATAGTGTGGAAGATGTAAATAATTTTTCTTGCTTGTAAACTTTTAATTCAGATTATAATAATATTAATAACAAGAGGGTAAGGGGGAGACTTTCCAGAAAATACTTCCCCCTAGGCCTGACTTTTGTTTTATCTTAGGATCTAGATACTAGGATAGAGCTGAGCACCGGAGGACTAGGAGCTTCATGTCACGTGACAGAAAGTCCAGATGATCTCTTCAGGTAGTAACTTCTTCGTGTTTAAGGTTAAAGATTAGAAGAAAGAAAGCTGTACAGTTAGTCCCATAAAACGGTGGAATAAATAGTTGAGTAAATTAAAATAGTTTGTCAGAAGCTTTAAAAAAGACTTAAAAAGTGAAATCTGTCTTTGTACACCGCACAGCTCCTGTGTTTCATGGTCATTGAAATTTTTTAAATCACGAGTTAATTATAATAGTCGTCTTCCTATTCTACAGTTTTATAGTCCAGTGATGAAACTAATTTGGTTGTAAGGAATAAGAAAAGTAGGGGAAAATCGGTCTACAACATTTAAATTGAATAAAATTCTATCAAGTGATAGATGATACGATTAATTCTTTTTTAGTATAACAGATAGTCTGCTTCTGAGTTCCCATTGCTTGGATCGAAACATTGAGAAGATGTTTGAACTTTGGAGCAATATATTCGAGCAGATTCATCTCAAGGATACTAACAGGCAATTTTGAACAATTCCTTTTGCTATGAATGCCCCCTTTCAATATTAATCAAAACAAAAAGCGTAAAGTATGATACTTTAAGATTGATTGATTTGAAACTTTTAAGTCTAAAGATCTCTCAATGGCAAGATTTGTTGAGTTGCCCTTTTCCCTTTGCATTTATAAAAAAAAATACAAAATAGCGGCTGTTTAGGGTGTCAACATTGGTTAAGATGGCGGCTACCAGTACATCTAACGGAATTGCGCATTCCGGTCACAGATATGCCATGTCATGCGCAGCCGCAGCAGTAAATCCGGTATCCGCGCTCACAGAAATTTACTCCGGTAATATTTAATAATTTCTAGCCTTAGTGGTTTATCTTTTCAAAAAAGTACATGATTTTTATGGTCGGAAAGAAACACCTTTTTTTGAATTTTTTTACCCAAAACTTCATTTGTTTTCTCCTATAAATTAGTTATTATCCCCGTACATCGAATAAACCCCTTCAAAAATATTTTACTTCAAACGTAGTGTGGGAAAATAATTTTTAAAGAAAATATTCACCCCTGTATAGACTTCAACGACTGCTAATATATTTCTATTAGAGAGGAGCATGCTTAATCTACAACGGTACCCTTTACACCTGTATCTAGGCAACAATGAGAAAGACCTGGAGGTTTTTACATCTTTAAAAGTGTAAAATTTTGATACTTTATTTTACTTTTACATATTTTTTGCTTCCTGTCAAAAGAGGTGCTTAGGGTACCAAATTGTGAATAAAACATGCCACTCTAATAGGGTCACTTTAAAATCTGTCACTTAGATTAATTAATAAATTTTATTTATTTACTGTATTCAGGAATGCAGCATGTAAATCATCTTTCAAAGCTTTCCACTCAGGGACCTTCACTTCTTTAAAACCTCTAAACTGGCTTTTAACTTTTAACGTTTTTATTTGGTTGGGCGAAAAGAGAAACCAAAAAATCAGATCGATCCTGATAATGTGGGTAAGGAATTAACTTGGTGAAAATATTCTATAGAATTATTTAAGTTTGTTTTGACACCTCAATTTTGGATGGTCTGGGTTCTACAACGGGGGGGGGGGGGGCTGTTTAAGATCCCAAATTAAGACATTTTTTAATGGGTAACAAATTAATTTTGTCAGCTCCGAATTATATTGGAATGAATGTCGTGATCTGCGACAGGACGGAAATATATTGATGGAGAAATTCCGTCTCCTCTCGGAGTTGCTCCTCAACAAGAACTGTATGAAGGTGGCTCTCAACACAGTACCAGAGACTCAAGATCAGTTAGTACGAGGGGCGGAGAACTTTGTATCCGCCCTTTCGGGAACCTGTTCTCCTTTAACTTGTTTCAAGGAGGAACAGTTCCAGGTTTGCAATCATTTTTAAATAGAAATTTTAAAATTCTGAGATCCAATTTTTAAATCGTCAGACTGTAGGGGAGGGGAATTGGCTGAGTGTGCTAAGGACATATTTGAAATGCTCATGTTTAGCATCTAGTTTCTCTAAAAAGTCTCATTTATACCGGGCTTAGTTTTAAAATCAAGTTTAATAAGTCCTAATATTTTTAACTCAGTTTAGTTTGTTTAACAAACTTTATCTTTGATTTCTGAGAACTTGATTTCTTGAGAACTTGATTTCATTATTCAAATTCTGTGAAGAAAATGCACTTTAAAAAAATTATTTTTTGATTCCATCAAATATTTTGTTTTCGCCAATTTAAAATTCTTTCAATAATATTCCAAGAAAATAATAATCTTGTCTTCAGATTTAGACGCTAGACAGGGGTATATATGTTTTAAATATTGCTTTTTTGGGGGGGCCGGTGGGGGGGGGTGATAAAAAGTTTTCCCCAGTGATGTATTGTATATGTTTTGAAAAATCATATCCTCTTCCCCCCATTTTGAAAATAATTATTTTTCCCAAAAAGTAATGTTTTTGTTTCAGGGTTTATTTGCTTAAGGAATGATTTTAGCAGAAAATTAATATATTTTTGAGGGAAAATTATCAAAAGGATTTAAATAAACCTTGCCTCTTGAAGTCCAATTTGTCATTCTTACTCCAGATCATTAAAAACCTTTCTTTTTCATAAAGTTAATACTTGTTTAGCCAGAAAATACAATTATCTTCCTGATTTTTACTCACATAAAGAAGTAAAGGGTACCGCTGTTAATCGGATATGTCACTATTAATGAAGGCAGCCTTGAAATTACGTGTACAGTCCCTTTAATTTCAGGTTGAGGAAAGAAAACTGCACCATGTTGTTCCTTTTCCAATAAACTTTACTTCACAATCCCTACCCACTGTACATTATACTCATCCAGACTCCGCCCCACTCAGGTATAATATAGAGGGTGTCCTACTGTACATTATACTCATCCAGACTCCGCCCCACTCAGGTATAATATAGAGGGTGTCCTACTGTACATTATACTCATCCAGACTCCGCTCCACTCAGGTATAGTATAGGGTGTCCCACTGTACATCATACTCATCCAGACTCCGCCCCACTCAGGTATAGTATAGGATTTCCCACTGTACATCATACTCATCCAGACTCCGCCCCACTCAGGTATAGTATAGGGTGTCCCACTGTACATCATACTCATCCAGACTCCGCTCCACTCAGGTATAGTATAGGGTGTCCTAATGTACATTATACTCATCCAGACTCCGCCCCACTCAGGCATAGTATAGGGTGTCCCACTGTGCATCATACTCATCCAGACTCCGCTCCACTCAGGTAAAGTATAGGATGTCCCACTGTACATCATACTCATCCAGACTCCGCCCCACTCAGGTATAGTTAAGGGTGTCTCACTGTACATCATACTCATCCAGACTCCGCCCCACTCAGGTATAGTTAAGGGTGTCCCACTGTACATTATACTCATCCAGACTCCGCCCCACTCAGGTATAGTATAGGATGTCCCACTGTACATCATACTCATCCAGACTCCACCCCACTCAGGTATAGTATAGGTTGTCCCACGAAACGACAGTAGCAACACAACTTGAAAGGCGTCGTTGAACTTTGAATTTATTTGAGACATTCAGTCGTCATTCGTCAACTTACTTTAACTCGTACAGATTCTTAAAACAATATCCACAAAATTCTCCTAGATCTGGAATGTCCAACACGTGGTTTGCCTTTTTTTGTGCTGTCAACATTTCCGGAGATATTAAGAATTTCGTTCAGATTTTAATTTTGTCAAATAAAACCAAAATTGTCGAAATCTGAAAGAAATTCTTCATATCTCGGGTAATATAGAAAGAACATAAAAGGCAGACATTTCGGAAATGCCTGAAGTAGTGGTATTTGGAGATTAAGAAGTTTAATTGAAAAATAATGTTAACAAATAAATGTAGCGAATTATAATAAAAATAAAAGACGATCTTCAAGTCTTCTTACTACTGTCATGTTTCGGGGGGCGCCCTGTATCTGACCTCCCGTTTGACCTCCTTTCAATTGGAATTGGACCATCAAAAAACATATTACTTGATACCTAATATGATTTCAGGGGAAGAAATTTTGAACCCATGATTTGCCCCAGACCTGACACCGAGTGTCTGGTTTCGACCAAATGTGCAAAGTTATCTTTTCTATTTTTCGATTTAAGTTTTAAGATGTTAAGTTGTTAAGATTTAAAAAACCCGCCTGCAAACGTCTCATTTTATTTTAGACCATGTCACATTTTTGAAGCAAATTCAAAGTTTGGGCGCACGTTTTGAAACATGTCGCGATTTTGAGACATTTCACAGATTTGAATCAATGTTACTTTTCAAGCATTTACACATTTTGTTAACAAAACTAGATTTTAGGTAGAATTTAGATAATGAAACAAAAAATAGTGAATTCTTTATATTCTGTTCTGATATTTTAAAGTAAAACGACTTGTAAAGTTGAAATATTCTAATATTAGTATTATATTGTTCTTACAATTAAATTGAAAATGGAGGAAAATCAAAATCCTCTGTTCTCTCCGTATTTAAAAGAATACTGAGGAAACAAATTTTAGAATAATTTATAAGATCAAAATATTGATAATGCTTGACAATATGTTTAAAATATTTTCACTCGGCACAGGAAGAGTTACTAAAGCGTTGAATACAACATTTGTGCCCAAACCTGAACATTAGCACGATTTGAAACTTTCTTCTCCTGGACTTACTTTCATTGATTTTATAGTGAGAAGTAATGTATTTTTAGAGTTCTTGCAGCGGTTATGTCTTCTAAATATTTGCATCCAGAAATCAGAGAGAAGGGCGGAGCATATGGAGGCGGAGCTACGGCAGGTAGAAACTGAAAAATTGGGGAGGGGGGTAGTATATGGAGGCGGAGCTACCGCAGGTAGAAACTGAAAAATTCGGGGAGTGGGGAAGTAGCCAATTGGCTTTAATTTGTTTCCTTTGTCCATTTTTTATTAATTGATGTCTTTTCAATAAGCGAAGGTTGTCTGTGATTATCATTATTGATTTAATCATATATAACGGTTTATGTTCACTTACCACCTAATTATTTTGAAAACTATTTAGAAATGTTACTAATTTGATTAAGTTTGTAACTTATATAACTGAATAAAAACTGATGGTGGTCTGGTATTCTGGTAAAAAAGAAACTTTCGGTTGGAACAGAGAAAGTGCATTGACAAGAAGGACACGTCATGAACTAGAATAAGCAGGACAAAGGACAATAATTATCAAAACAAGGACAAAAATAAGCAGGACAAAGACTAGAACAAGGACTAGGACAAAAATAAGTAGGGCAAGGACATCAATTAGCAGAACAAGCATATGACAAGCACAAGGACAAAATAAAAATTCGTGATCAAGGAGAAGTACAAGGAACAGACGCAGTAGGCGAACATATTTGTAAACATTTTTTTTTTCAATATACAACTATTTTGATTTAGGTTCTGGGACCTTTACCTTCTATAGTTACAGAGACCCTAAAAATCTAGGTAAACCTCTTTATAGTTTTGAGAACAATGATATAAAATAATCAACTGAACGTAAGGTAAAAATAAGAGATATTATTTCAATGAAAATTATCAAATTTTTTTTGACTTTTTTATTTAAAGAGTACTGTCAATTTTTCCATAAAACTTTGGAACATGAAGACGGTTTTCAAGAAATTTTTATCTTCATTCGATTTTGTTTTAAAGCGAATAATTGTACCATTAGCTTGAAAATCAAATCATTAAATTAAATGGGTCTGTGTACACTACACAATTGCTGTGTTTCAGGTTCATTGTTATATCTGAAATTCAACAATTGTCTTCCTATTCTAAGCTATTAAGGATCCAAGTGTATTTGTGTAATCTCTGTATATTGAATATTTAAGAAACGTTCTCTGTGTACCGTAAAGCTGGAGAATGGGCTGCAGAAGGAAACTTCTCAGATCAGGTTTTTATATTATTCAAAACATTGTCCTGTCCTGTTTTCCCTTTTACTTCCTGTCATGTCCCTTGATGATTTCCTCTATTTGTCCTTCCTAACGCTTCAGCCCCCCCCCCCCCCTGTCCTTTTTGATCTTGGTGTATTCTAGCTATGATGTCCTTTTGTCCTATTGTCGTTTTTATCTGTCCTCCATGTTCTCTACTGGCAAATCCAGGCTGTTCTCTATTTTCCTGTTTTTTAGAACTTCTTTTAATGTCCTTCTCTATCATCTTGACCCTTATTCCTTTAAACCCATTTTTGTTGTTGGACCAAGCCCACTTATCTACTCCGTCTCACTCTGTTTAACATAAACTCATATTTATTATTTTTTTCATACAGGTCACTCAGATTTTGCTGTTTTCAAAATTCTGTGCAAATGAGTACTTATCTCTATAATTATGTATACCAGGATGTGGAAGAGGGTCAGCTTCGTATCTTCCAGAGACTAGATGAACCTGTTCAACCAGGATACAGAGGTCTTCGTGTTTTCCTCTCAGGAGTAGAGGATTCTATCTTCAAGGAACACAGAATAAGGTAGGAACACAGCTCTCTATGTTCAAGGAACTCAGAGTATCATAGGAACACGCTTATCTTTGTTCAGGGAACACGGAATAAGTTAGGAACACAGTTCTCTATGTTCAGAGAACACAATATTGTAAGAACAAAGAGTAAGAAAGGAACACAGTTCTTATGTTCCAGGAACACAGAATGAGGTGGGAACATAGTTCTCAGGGGTAAAGGATACTATGCTCTGAGATCATAGAAGAAAGTGGGAACACAGTTCATAGGGGTAGAGGATACTATGCTCAGAGAGCATAGAATATAGTGGGAACACGTTCTAAAGGGTAGAGGATTCTATGTTCAAGGAACACAGAATAAGAAGGGAACATAGTTCTATGGAGTAGAGGATTCTATGTTCAATAAACACAGAATAAGATGGAAACACAGTTCTAATGAGTAGAGGATTCTATGTTCAATAAACACAGAATAAGAAGGGAACATAGTTCTAAGGAGTAGAGGATTCTATGTTCAATAAACACAGAATAAAAGGGAACACAGTTCTAGGTGTGGAGGATTCTATGTTCAATAAACACAGAATAAAAGGGAACACAGTTCTAAGGTGTAGAGGATTCTATGTTCAAGAAACACAGTTCTCAGGGGTAGAGGATTCTATGTTCAATGAACACAGAATAAGAAGGGAACACAGTTCTAAGGTGTAGAGGATTCTATGTTCAAGAAACACAGTTCTAAGGTGTAGAGGATTCTATGTTCAAGAAACACAGTTCTAAATGGTAAAGGATTCTATGTTCAATGAACACAGAATAAGAAGGGAACACAGTTCTCAGGGGCAAAGAATTCGATGTCCTTGTAGCGAACTATGACTTTCAGTCAATGATTGAAACATCGTCTTCAAATACGTGTTTTGTTTTTAAACAAATAGCATTGAAAGTTTTAAATATTTGTTTAGTCTCCAGAGAAACACATTCAACTTTGGAACAAGAATTTGATATTTAAGCAAATATTTTGTATTTTAGGTTTTAAAAAGCAAATAGTTTTAAACAACAGTAGCTAAACTCCACTGATTTAGTGAAATGGGTCTGTGTATATTGCACAATTGTTTTTGTTTTTTCATGTTCATTGGACTATTTAAATCTATAATTTAAGTCTTAACAGTCATCTACAAAATCCATAATCTTCTTCTATTTATACTTTGTTTGTCTGTCTGTTTGTATTCAATAAACGTCAATACGGCTGAACCGATCGAGCCCAAATTTTGTGTGGCCTTGATTGACCCCAGGGAAGGTTTATGGATTATCGAATTTTCAAAAATTTGCTTCTAACAAAAACTGATCTTGTAAATTTTAAAAATCTACAAATTTTGTATTATAAAATCAGCTAAGTTTTCCTTACGTTTTTGTTTTACAATGTATACAAAGAGAACATGTTCACATTCAAAATAGAAGATGGGCGCACAGCGCCCTAAAAGTCAAATATTAAATAAGTAAACAAACAATCAACCTTCACTCCGTAGAAATTTATGAAATAACCGCCAAAGGACGTAAATTAAATTTCAGTTGATAAATGGCAGTCCAGTGTGTCTCACTGGTTAATACAAATGCTATTAGGGTGAAGAATGTGTGTAAAGCTGACCTGCAGACTGTAGCGGACAAGTACCTAGTTGACCCAGCTGTGTCGGGCAGAACTTTAATTGGACCTGCACAAACTGGACTTGAGGACTTGGGCTGGAATACTGTCAGACATTCCTAAATATGGAGTTGAAGCTGACCAAGATCTGTCTAAATTTTCTTATTTTTGAGACGTAAAATTTTTTGAATTTTGTTTGTAAATAAGGATCGAAAACATTAAAATACTTTCAGAGAATATTACCACTTTTTATGTTAACAATTTAAAATTTCAGAGGTTTAAAATGTGCCATGGAATTGAAAAAGTTTTTAATCTAGCAATGGGAACTTTCTCTAAATCAGAGAATTTTAAACAAAAGTTCGAGAAGCTTCTCGTTCAAACTAGTCAGCTGACAGGTAGGGACGCCATATTAAATGTCTATTATTGTATTTATAAAGAAGTTAAATTATTTTTGCCCTCAAAATTAAATATTTTTTACCACAAATTTTTACAATCTTTTAAAACAAGAATTTCAGCCCAAAAATAGTTTAAATAGACCATAAACGTAATTTCAAGAGACCTACCATGAAAAAACATTTTCCCCCTAGTGTTATCTATCAGGATGAAAACCTTGCCTTATGCGTTAACATTTTTCGATTTTTTTACTCCGCGCATGAACAATCATTTTACCCCCCCCCCCCCCGGGGAGGGGGGAGTGGAATTTTCTAAATATACACCCCTGGTCATACTCATAAGTCATAAGAATACCCTTTTTGTGGCCCCCTGTACGTACGGCGTTTATCTGGAAGAATTCTATAAAAATTATTAAATTAGGTTGAAATTGTTTTAATGAGATTAGATTGTTAATAATGACCCAGACCGGTAATTTTAGATCATAATTGAGAGAAATAACTAAATTGTTTTTCAGGGGTGTATATTTTTCAGATTTTTGATAATTAGGGGAATGAAAAATTGGACATGAGAAGGCAACTTCTTCTTTTTTCTTACTTTATACCCTAAAACTCCTAAAAAACATTTATTTCCCCCAATTTCAGCGAATTAAACCCTGAAAAAGATTTTGGACTCGCCGCAAGCATATACATTATACATTATACAAGGTGTCTCTGAAAAAAGGGTGTTTAGGCTTTTTTAGTCCAGTTAACATCACTCCTTGGAGGTATAAACTTATGAATTGTCGTTGAAACATTTACTCTGAAATGCCAATTTAGCCTTCAAGATGTACTTGAAATGTATTTCAAAGAATTTTTTAAAAATCAGAAACCTTTTTAAGTCAAATTTTTTTTAAATCCTAAATTATATCATTACAAATGCGCAATTATTCTATTCTGTAATAACTCTTTGGAAAAGAGACAGAGCACATCTATATACTATATATATACTTTGCTTGTCTGTGTGTTTGTTTGTCTGTTTGTATCCAATAAACTTCAAAACAGCTGAACCGATCTGGTCCAAATTTTGTGCGGGACCACGCGTGACCCCAGGGAAGGTTTATTGATCATCAAATTTTCAATTGCTTATAACAAAATTCGATTTTTGAAAATTTTGAAAATCCACAGCTTTTTTTTTTAATCCTCGAAATTTTTTGTTTGTTTTTGTTTTAAAATATATACAACGAGAACATGTATACAATTGAAATAGAAGATGGACAGGAAGCGCCCTTAAAGCCTAGTTATTTAATTTTAGGTCTACTTTTTATGGTTAAAACGGCTTTTTGGAGAGAAAAATTTCATCGAAGACACCCCTCCCCCCTATTTTGAAGCACTTTCAACACATAACAACGTTGATGAGTAGGCTAAAAAGACTCAACACACATTTTTCAGAGACACCCTGTATAAATTTTGTGGAGAAAAAAAATTTTTTTAAAGGGGGGTGGAAAGAAAATTGATTTTTCGAGAAAATATACACCTCTGATTTTAGGAAAAGAGGTTGGTTTAGATAAATATAAAAGTTTGCAGGCTCCGACCAACAATTCGTCACCCTCCAGGAATCAATAATTATCAAATCTTAATCTATCTAATAAACCTCTTTCATATATATCTTGTATACTGTATTTGCCTGTCTGTCTGTTTGTTTATTTGTATCCAATAAACGAAAATAACTCACATGAGCCAGGGAAGGTTTATGGCTGGTTAAAATTGAGAAATCTTGCCCGAAAATTGTTTTTAAAATGCACCAATTTAAAACAGAAAAATCCGTGAAAATTTTGAACAATTAAAAATGACGACTTTCAGAGATTATGTAATAACGACTGGATCCAATTGGTTGACATTTTTTTGGAGGGAACCTAATTTGTAAATGAATCTTTACTTTGTTTTAATTTGATTAATTGATTAGAAAAAGAAGAGCGCATGCACCGTGCACATATATTAAGGTAAAATTTGTCAACATAACATATTTCTAAAAAGGGACTGATCACTTATATTCAAGTGATCCTCAATTTTAAGCTTTATTTGCATAATGATACCCATTCACACTTTATCTGATTAACCCTTAGTAAGATATTATTCTTCAGTCATGTTAAATTACGTAGATAATTTAGTCCCAATTATTTTTTTTCTTCAGTCATAATTCTACCGTATTGTTAGAGATTATTGCTTCCCTGGGACTTCTTTGGGTATGAAGAATAGGTTTTACATTCTTCTTGATTTTACCATTACCCAAAAATTCATTGTTTTCCCTTAAATTTTTATTTTCCCCAAGTCAGTGAAAATTTCCCACTCAGCTTTGCGCAAACATATCTGGGGGGGGGGATTTTCAATTGGAGGGAAAATTATTTTAAAGAAATTATCCACCCCTGGTTGTAGGTTGCTGAGAACTCCACCATCTCTATGGGTGTATTTATAGTCCGTGAGGGTGAGAGAATACCCCTTCACGACCACCCCAGCATGTACGGTATAATTCGCTGTCTTCAGGGGAAACTTAAAATAACATCATTTACAAGAAAGGTAATTTCCATTTTTTTTATTTTAAAGGACTGTAAATGTATATTCAATTCACCCTCCGATATGCCAATGCCCGATTCACAACGTTACCTTTTAAAGTTGTCTAATCAAGTATGAAATATATATTAATATTTTTCAAAAAATTGATAACTTTCATTTTTTGGGTTCTTTACTTGCGTATTTCTACTGCAGGCAATTATATATAATTATTAGTCGCATTTTTTAATCAGTTTATATTTCATTTAAAAATGCTCTCTTCTTCAAAGAAAAAGTTTATGTTGCTTATTTTATTTACAATTTTACATCGTTATATCTTGGTTCAATATGTATTTCTGTTTATAATTTGATAATATTAAATTGGATGATTTATCTCTAATTTCAGCGGACTGACGTAGATGTACTCAATTCATTATCATCTAGTTATAAGAGGAAAATTGAGCGGGGAGAACTGTTTTTAGCAGGAACCAGTTGAGTTTATATACACCCCATCCCCCCTCCTTTATTTTTGTCTATTTAGTTATGTTATGGAATAAAAACTAAACTAATCTAAACACTCCCTGCACACAAATACTCCCTACACCCTACATACACATACTCACTACCCTCTACACACACATACTCATACTCACTACCCTCTACACACACATACTCACTGTAGACCCTCTACACACACATACTCACTACCCTCTACACACACATACTTACTACCCTCTACACACACATACTCACTACCCTCTACACACACATACTCACTACCCTCTACACACAAATACTACCTACCATCTATACACACAAATACTACCTACCATCTATACACAAATACTCCATATCCCCTATACACAAATACTTCATGCCCCCTAAACATAAATACTCCCTGTCCCCTATAAATAAATATTCCCTATACAAAATCCTCCCTACCCCCCTACACACAAATAAATAAGACATAAGACACCATTTAGTGTCCTATCAGGTGCGCGAATGAATGTCTATCAAAACGTAAATAACCCTCTCGGTTTGAAAGATCATAATAACATGGTTTTATATGATATAAATGCTTTATAAGTGGACATTTCAATTATCAACTTATTTTGAAATAAGAAAACACTTAAACCTGAGCATTAAAACTTAACTTAATATTTAGTTGTGATATTTGTCATAAATAATTTATGATGAATAATTATCAATAGTTGTATTCAAATCTTTAGCCTAGGCCTTTTTTTTGTATTTTCTGAAACGTTGAACAACCCCTTTAAACTCAAATTGGTTTGTGTAGAACCTCTTCCAACCTTAGAGCTGACACCTGAATCCAAACCTTGCTTTCTAGATCCTGTAGCAGGCAACATTCATCAGGTAGATTTAAAGGGAATGTATATTTTTCAGAANTAGTAATTCAACTGTTGTGGAGAATTTTTTAGGATTCATTTGAGACATTTAAAACGTTTTAATTAAGTATAATTAGATGTTTAGGAACATATTTCTAAATTAAAATTTTCTCAATAAATCAATGTTAGATATTTCTTTTTTATTATATTGAATTTATTAATCTTAATTTGTTCGCTGATTTCTTCAAGTTCTTCAAATGTCGTCTTTTCAATAAAACATGTAGCAAATCTACAGTAATGTTTGTGAACAATGAGATATTACAGAAACCAAAACTAAGCAATATTACTTATTTTCGATGATAATAGTTAAGTTTTATTTTCTTAACCTGTTTCAAAACAACTTATTAGTGAACTGTAGAATTTTCACTACATTTTTCGTCGTCGTTCAATTATCAATCTATGAGAATTTAAAAGATTGAATATGCGCTCTTGCTGAACAAATATGGACCATAAAAACGTCTCATAGGTCTCAAATGATTCCTTAAAAAAATTCTCCACAATATTACATTCTCAGTTCAACTACCAAACATTGCCGATCACTCAATAATTTTATATTTTATATTTGGTTTAAAGGACGTTTCTTTCTCCACTGAGGAAATGATTTTCGATGATTTGGGGAAAAAATAAAAAATTGGACATCAGGAGGCAACTTTTTTATTCTTTTTGATACTTATTACCAAAAAACTCATTTATTTGTCAGCGAATAAAACCCTTTAAACAATGCGTAACAGGTTCTGGGGGAGGGAAATGATTTTCAAAAAAGGGGGGGGGGAGAAATATCTGTTATGAGAAAATATTCACCTCTGCGTTTTTTTCGAGTGACCCTCCGTTGGAAATAGGACGTTAATTTCTGTTATTTGGTTGCCTGGTGTTTTTTTTAAGGAGATCCGCCTTGATTAATTGAGTTATTATTATTTTGCCACTCTCAGAGTGTGTTGTCTTGTCCAGGTTTTACTTTCATGATGTTAGATGTTTAAATTCAACTTTTTAAACTGAAACATAAGAAGGTATTAATGACCTTAAACTTATTTAACCTTTTACAAGCAAGTTTAAGACCAAAGGTGTTCAGATATTTTCTTTAATCCACGACTGACTGACTGACTGACTTGACCGACTTGACCGACTTGACCGACTTGACCGACTTGACCGACTTTACCGACTTTACCGACTTGACTGACTTGACCGACTTCACTGATGGTTGGTTGATTGGTTGGTTGATTGATTGATTGATTGATTGATTGATTGATTGATTGATTGATTGATTGAAAGGTGGAGAGTGTGGACGGACCTGCAGCTTTTTTAGATATTCTCTCCCCTCCCTACAATACGGATCCAGATCCAGCATCAGCTGATAAACAGGTGCAATTAATATGATCTCATATATTTGGATAAAACTTTTTTTTAAGAAAAAAAACTTCTTAAATGGATAAACATTCATGTAGGGTTAAATTTTTTTATGTGGATAAAACCTTTTTTTTATAAAAGCTTTGTATATATGTTGTAAAATCTTTTTCAAACAAAACTTCTTAAAATCTTCTTTTTTGGATTAAACTTTTCTTTAGATTCGAGATTGTAATTATTACCGATATCTTGATGGTGATGTTGATGGATACAGATGGTTGCTTCTCTCCGATCCTCCTTCATCCTTCTACTGTGATACAGAACTTTACCAGGTACAGTTTTTTTATTCCTGGAGTAAGCTAACTGTTGAATTTGAATTGCTTGTGGAAAATGCATTTTAGGTTTAATTTATTTAATTTTTGGGTTAAATACTTTCTTTTATGTTTAATTAACTTAATTTTTTGGTTAAATAATTTCTTTTTTTTGAGTTAAGTAATTACATTTTTGAGCGAAATAGTTGCATTTTTGGTGAAATAAATGCATTTTTGGGTGAAATGATTGTATTTTTGGAAAATTTATTGTAATTTTGGTTGAAATAGTTGCAATTTTGGTGAAATAAATGCATTTTTGGTGAAACTATCTTATTTTCGGTGAAATAAATGCATTTTTTTGAAAAATGATTGCATTTTTGGGTGAAATGATTGTAATTTTGGGGTGAAATAGTTGCATTTTTGGGTAAAATTTATTACAAGCGGTGGGGGGAGGGTTCTCGTATTTTTTTTTTGTATTTCCGTGTATATCTGCACAGTAAACCCCTGGGATAACCAGGACAAGATCTATTTTATCTGCAGGAAAACTAGTTTCAAATCAATGAGGCAGATTTTATTAAGAAATTATTTGGGGAAAGACACAAAATTTATTAATAATACTCGCAAACCATCAATAAATTACAATTTTTAATTTTTTCCTTCCGCATTTTCTTTGTCATTTTAATTTTTCTCGGAAAGTTTTACATTTAAAGTAATTTTATTTTTACTATTTAGGGTCCAGAGTTTAAATACTCATGTGAAGAAGAAAATTGACTTGACTTCCAACCTAGCTGATTCATAAAAATACATTCTTAGATGTAGATTTATCTTCTAGTGACAACCCCCCCCCCCCTTTATATTAATGTGGCATGTTCGTTCAAACGGTACCGTCTAAACTTTGTCTGATCCAGGAGGAATGAGACATTCATGTTATTCTAGCTTAGAATTGATTAGTTGTCAACAGTATCTTCTCAGATGAAGATTCAAATTGTACCGTTGTGATGTGGACATGCTACTTACTCTATAACTGAAGTGTCACTTGGAATTACGTGTAAACATTCTCTTTAATCATTGAAATTATGTAGACAGTCCCTAATCATTAAAATTTCTTTCTCACGGTTTTTCCTTTAAAAATAATATTTTTTCCTTTATCCGTGTTTTTCCTCTCTTTTCTTCATTTAATTTCAAATGAGAGATTTTTGTTTTTGTTTTTCAAACATTAGCCTTCCACGGTTGATTTAATTGCAAAACTAAAGTTGTTTTTATTAAGAACCTGGAACGACAACTTTGAATCTTTGAAATCCATGTATTTCCCATGTGCAGTAGAAAATAGAAGAAATTGTAAGAATTAAAAAAGAAAACTTTTCAATGTTTGCTCAAAAAAGTGTTTTAATGGCAAGCATCTGTTTCAATTAGCGGTCACTTATAAATGCTTCGACAGTTCGGTTTAATCATATATTAATAAAGAGACATGACTGAAAGGGAAAAGGAATTTTTCCTTGAAAAGAGTTTTTTTTGTTCTCATACCGTGAAATGTTAACTACCAGTTTTGTAATTTAAATCTAAAGATTAACCTAAAATAAATTTTTGTCTTGCAATTTACTCCCTACACGTTTGCTCTGATATTAATTAGCTCAATTTTTCAGTAACTCTTGAAATATTCTTTATTAAAGAAAATAGTTTCAGATATAATGTTAGAAAGATAGAGATAACAAGAGAGTTAAAATGGATCAGCTGATTCTAAATTTGGGTAACATTGACAACATAGGTATTAATCAGAAACATTTATATATATAAAGCTATAAACAATGTTTGTCTGTTTGTTTGTTCGATCTTAACTTATGAAGCACCGACTTGCCTCAAAAAAAAAGAACTCGGGTGAACCACGGAAATGTTCATAGCTTGGTTTTAAAATTCTAAGTGAATGGGTAAACTTTTATAGGGAAAAAATCGGGCAAAACTGGGTTCCAAAGCTAGTCTTATAATAAAGCAATTGATAAAAGGTCGTTTTTATGTTAATTACTCTCTATCATGTAATTAATATACTTGATTACACGATCGTGTGCTAAAGCAAAAAAAATATTTCGTTTGTTTACAGACATAAAAATTCAGAATAATTTGTTTGTGCATTAATGAACTCTTTTTAAGTTTGCAAATAATTGAAGTTTTTATTTTATTACACGGGAAATAAATCTTATCTCTATTTAACTTGCGAAATAAGAAGTTTCATTTAAACTTACGAGAGTAATTGTCATATCAAGTTTTTTTTCACCTATTATTTGGCATGCTGTTAAAATTAATGGTTTAGTTCCCAGAATTTTTTTGGAGTGTGGAAACAATATCAAATTGTGTTTTCATTTCTTCATTTTAAACTATCCAAACTTTTTTCTTCTGAATTAAAATTTCTTCAAAATTAAAAAAAAAATCATTTGCTTTTATTTGTTCGAGAGATGGTGTAGTCATTTCAAGATTACTTCATGAGTCGTAGGGCGTCCCAAAGGGTAGTGCTTGGGAACAGTTGAATCCACAACATTTTGCCTTGCTGGATCTTAACTGATCCGCTGGCAAAATATCAAACAAAAATATTTTCCTCTCAAACCCCAAAGGTTGGAAAAAGAGATTCAGATGTTTCCTTAAATCTGAATCTCTGAATGGTTCATCTAGTTTTATAATAAAAAATAACCAAAAACTGAAGCCGGTATCTATTTTTTTACAGTGCGGATCCGCATCAAATTTAAATGGATCCTTGGCACGGAAGAGTCTAATTTGATTTGATTTTTTAGATCAGAGTTCATACAAAATTTAATCTAGATGTGCAAAATTTAATCCAGATGTGCAAAATTTAATCTGATGTGCAAAATTTAATCTAGATGTGCAAAATTTAATCTAGATGTGCAAAATTTAATCTGGATGTGCAAAATTTAATCTGATGTGCAAAATTTAACCTAGATGTGCAAAATTTAATCTAGATTTGCAAAATTTAATCTAGATTTGCAAAATTTAATCTAGATGTGCAAAATTTAATCTATATGTGCAAAATTTAATCTAAATGTGCAAAATTTAATTTAGGTGTGCAAAATTTAATCTAGATGTGCAAAATTTAATTTAGGTGTGCAAAATTTAATCTAAATGGGCAAAATTTAATCTAAATGTGCAAAATTTAATCTAGATGTGCAAAATTTAATCTAAATGTGCAAAATTTAATCTAGATGTGCAAAAAGGTTACCTTTGATGAAATGTAACGCACTTATATTTTTCAGGAAGTTGAAAATTTAGTTGTTTTTTGTTTTCTAACTTCTCCATAGTTACAGTATTACTCTAGGTGGACTTGATGGAGATGTTTGTCAAGCTGAGAAGGAAGGTGAAGTTCAGGATAATACTGACGGACTACTGGACAGATCTAATCAATTATCCAGGTGAACAGTGCGGAGGGTCCGGATTCCGGATACGTAAAAATGCGGCTCAGTGGTCCATCCGGATCCGGATACAAATGTGGAAAAAATTATCAAAATATTTTTTTTACTTGTCCAGAAAACACTGGACACTTTTTTGTTGAATACTCGCTTGATCTCGATAAACAGAATTGTCACGTTTAATCTGATGATCTATTTAAAAGACCAACTTCCATATCTGCATTTTAGTTAGGCCTCCCCTAATTAAAGCTCCCTTCAACCCCTGACTGGGTACGATTACAAGGGATATCAAATAAAGATTAAATTAATCTACATATTAACAAAAGATACAAAACTTCCCAGCTAGGATCTTTTATTAGTTAATCAACTCTNTATAATTACTTATAAAATCGATAAGATATTTGTGGGTTGGAATGATGGAATAGATCCTATGACATGTAAATTATGAACAATTACAGAACAATTTACAATTAGAGTGAATGTTAAAACAATCTTTCAATTATGAGAGAACGTCAAACTATTCCCTTTAAACATCTTTGGAGAAACAATAGAGAATCTACGACAACTGCTTTGATAGGGAAAAAGCTCGTAACGCTTAAAGTGCATAGGATCCGGAACCGCAACATTTTAGCTTCTTGGATCCGGGAACCGCAAAAATGTGGTGATCCAAGCATCCTGATGCACCTGGTTAAATATCAACTAAAATATAAGAAGTAAAAAGTTGTTGGTCACAAAACATAAAAAAAATTGAAAATCTTATATTAAAGCTGGATCCGGATCCTCTTGTTAAAAGAAAGGATCCCGGATCCTGATCCGCTCCAAAATGAAAAGGATCCTGAGCACTGAATGATCAAAGAAGTGTTGTTATCAAGTTATCATGCTATCATTGTTCTTCATTTATTGTTTCTGAAATAGATTGTTATTGTTATTTTTATTTTTATAATTATTGTTACCAAAGAAGTGTTGTCATCATGTTATCATTGTTATTGTTCTTGTTCTATTGTTACTGTAATAATTTGTTATGATAACTTTTGTTGCTAATGATTGTTAATATTATTGTTATTGTTATTGCTATTTCTGTTGTTGTTATTGTTATTGTTATTGTTATTGTTATTGTTATTGTTTTTGCACTGCAGAGATGTAGATGAGGTGCTAAGTGAAGCCTTAGAGTCGAGTATAGAACAACAAGAACATGATACTATCTCATCGGTGGAGTCCAAACTTATCAGGTCTAACATAAAAATTTTGTTTCAGTTCAATAAGTGCAGGGCAATAAGTTAAGTACATTTTTTGCAGTACAATAAGCAAAGTATAGTTAAGTGCAGATAATTCTACTGCAGTACAGTACGCACAGTTTAAAAAAAAACGGAATACACTAAGTGAAGTAGATTAAGGAATTGGCTTTACTTGTCAAATTATTTACAAAACAAAATGGATCAGAGCTTTTAAGAGATTAACAAAAAATCTTTCGACCTCAATAGTTTGTAATAGTTTTTTATTTTCTTGTTCTCTAGGTGCCAGGAAAGGCAGTTAGCTCTAGAATCCAGGTTTAGAAGAATGCAGGAGAGAATATCCAAACTACGAGCTATCAGGGTCGGTCAGCACGCTGCTGAGCAGATACAGGTGAAACCTCCTTCAACCACTGTTTCACTTGATCATTAAACCACTCACTGCCTTACTCCTTCATTCAACCACTCATTGTCTCACTCGTTCATTCAATCACTCATTCTCTAACTTCTTGATTCAACTACTGCTGCCTCACTTGTTCATTCAATCACTTACAGCCTCACTCCTTCATTCAACTACTAACTACCTCACTCGTTTATTAAACCACTCATTGTCTCAGTCCTTCATTCAACCACTCACTGCCTCACTCCTTCATTCAACCACTTACTGTCTCACTTATTTATCTATCCACTCACTACCTCACTCCTTCATTCAACCACTCACTCTCTCACTCCTTCATCATAAAGCCACTCACTCGCTCACTCCTTTATTCAACCACTCTCTCACTCCTTCATTAAACCACTCACTGATTGATTGATTGATTGATGTTGTTATGTTCAGCTGGGTGTGGTAAGCTGTGAGAAAAGATTATCTTGTCAACGTGGAGTTGTAAATGAAAGACCTAGGACTGAACCTGCAGTCCAAGACCTACAGGGTAAAGAGACTGTAAAACGAAGACTGAAAGACGGCGAGCCAAAAATTCGGCGGCCGAAGATAAGAAAATATAACAAGAAGAAGGCGGATGAAACCTTCGGTCAACTTTACGGACATTTACGACATGTTCAACGCTTTCTAGGTATTTAATGACAAAACCAAAGAAAACTATGATCGTCTGTACTGTTGTTAATCGTTATGGATCGTTTTTTTTAAATATTGAAACTTTTTTGAAAATGTTTGATGTCAAAGTTTTCTTTTATTAAACGTATCAATATCTCTATATTTTTTTATTTTAAATAGGAAAAACTATCCGAAAGCAATCGTTACAACACGTTCGATTTTGCATCGTTTCTGGATCGTTTTCAGAGGCTTCTTGGGGATGGATCTTTGAAATCTATTAATTTCTGAAAACGCCTCTGATCGTTTTTTTTTTGCATATATCTTCTGTTAGGGTAAAAATTTGTCAAAGTGTAAGAAAAGTTAATGTTTAGACGAAAACATTTTTTTTTAATTCCCTTTTTTAAACAGTGCCAAAAAGAATATAGGGGGGGGGGGAACGGCCCAAAAACTAAACAACTGATATTCGAAATGTTTGTTTATTAGACCCTGAAGCTACTGAGTCTAGTAGTGGAGGAGATAGTGCAGATGAGGATGAAAAGTATACCCCAGGAGCAGTACTGTACGCTCCTATCAAGGAGAGAGCTAAATATAGATATCTCAAGAAGGTAGGTAGGAGGGAGGGAAGAGGGTAGGATGGGCATGTATAATTCACAACGGTACCCGTGAAACCTTTATATCAGTAACAATTAGGAAAATATCATTGTTAAAGTATGTTTAAATCTGACAATTTCATTTATTGTTTCTGCAGCATGAAGCATCCAGTCCTTTTTATAGATTTGAGCTTTTTAACAAATCTTGGTATTTTTATTTTAATCTTATTGGACAGGATTTTGTGCCTATTTTTTTTAACTAGAATAATTCAAATATTTGAGTTAATACGTTTTCTTATCTTGGTAATTTCTCCCAATTAACTGAGTTTTTACCTGTACAAATTTATCTTTAAATTATTAAATTTTCAAATTTTTAATGATGTTATTATCTACTTCTACTTATTCTGATTAAGTATCGTGTTTTTTTTCATAGGAAAATCCGAAAATTAGATCCATTTTTTGTCCAAAATGCACAAACAATAATTTAATAGTAAGCGATATTATAATTGAGAAGTTTCAGGTATCAAAAAGCTTTTATTTACTAATTTATTTTTAGAGATGCTTGTACGCCTCCCAGTGGGGTTGGCTGCTTTGTCAGATTTCTGATTTAGAGTTCAGAATTCGACAACAGAACGAGATGTACAGGTACAACAAATGATAGGGTGTACGGTACGTTGTACAGGTACAGCAAAGAAAAGTATTTGTATTCACTGTGCAGATAGCAGAAGAGGGCAGTGTATCTACAGAATGTACAAGAATACCGCGCAATTTACGCGCAAAAAGATTGTAAAAATGAGCCCTGGAAAACATTTTCTTACTTTATAAATATTAATTGAACGATTTCGTTTTTTTTGCAATTACGCAACATCTGTGCATTTTGGCTTTTGTTCAATTCAGGTGCTAAATGAGATCCCCCTAGCTTTGTTCAATGATCATCCTAATATTTATTTGAAGGGTATATCGTGACGGAAAGGGCGCAGTAACACTAGATGATTCAGGGGCAACTCAATCCTCTCATCATGGAAGGAAGTTTACAGGGGCCACTCAAGGTTCAGATGGAATTATGGTAATATTTAGTTCTAAGTCATGTCAGGGGTGTACATTGTCTTCCCTCCCCCCTTTATTTATAATTTTTTTTTCATACGATAGATATGCTTGCGCATTCAGGTTCTGTTAGGGTTTTATTCGCTGAATTGATATGCCTTTTGATGTCCAATTTTACTTTTCTTTTTCATGTTCATGTTCATGTTCATGTTCATGTTCATGTTCATGTTCATGTTCATGTTCATGTGTATGTTCATGTTCATGTTCATGTTCATGTTCATGTTCATGTTCATGTTCATGTTCATGTTCATGTTCATGTTCATGTTCATGTTCATGTTCATGGTCCATGGTCCATGTGGTCAATGTGGTCTTGTACATGTTCTGGTCCAGGGTCAATGGGTCCATGGGTCATGGACCATGTTTCATATTCACGGAAAAATCTTATTTACAAAGCAGAGCGTAAGATTTGAAAGTATTAATGTTTGTTATTTTAAGCCTCGTTCCTTCAGAATTAAGATTTATTGTTTCTCCGTAGTAGTCTTTTTGGTAGTGTAACTGTTGGACGAATTTTAAATCAAAAGAATAAGGTTATTTAAAAAAACTTATCACTGAACAGCTACGCTATTGAAGTCAGTGAAATTAAAGCCTCATGGACACGAACAATGGCAGTTTACATCTGCTTATAATTAAAACTCTGATTGATTGATTGATTGATTGGTTGATTGGCTCCCACCTTGTTCACACTGGTCAATTCACGAGAATTGAACTGAAATGGAGACGTAAGCTTAATTCTGGAATCTAAATATTGAAGGATTGATCGCAATTATCATTATCATTATCATTATCATTATCATTATCATTATCATTATCATTATCATTATCATTATCATTATCATTATACAGATACAAAACATAAATAATGAAGAATATTAAACGTCTAGACCGACCAATTTATAAATGCATCTTCGTTTTAATGCATCTATATATTTGTTTATACTTTACAAACATATCTTTCTGTATAATAAAGCTCTTCGCTCAAATATGTATGTACGTATGTATGTATTTTTAACTTAGATAATTTATTCTTGATAATTGGTGTGGGCACAAGCGCACGCATACAAATAAAAACAAAATATCAATAAATCTATTTCCAGTTTGTTATCAAAGTCTTTCTATTATTTTGTTTTGCTCAAGATCAGTTAAAAGTCATATTCCCCAACACTTTGTGTTGCGCCATTTTCTTAAAAACTTGACCATGGGTAACCCTTTAAACCATAGTGAACACTTATTTGCTTCCTGTTTTTCCTTAAGCTCAACTACTTGGTTTGGTTCATTAAATGATTTTTGTTAATCATGTAATCATGTTAATCATGTAACATTGATTTGCTAATGACTTGTAGAAACGTATGTATGTGTATATGTTAGGTATAGCTGGCCAAACGTTTTTTTTATTCCACGGGCAACGCTGGGCACTTCAGCTTGTTTATATATATTCTATATATAAATTTGACTTGTCTGTCTGTTTGTCTGTCTGTCTGTTTGTTTGTATCCAATATTTATTGATTTATTGATTTATTGATTTATTGATTTATTGATTTATTGATTTATTGATTTATTGATTTATTGATTTATTGATTTAGATTTATTGATTTATTGATTGATTGGTTGATTGGTTGATTGGTTGATTGGTTGATTGGTTGATTGGTTGATTGATTGATTGATTGATTGATTTATTGATTTATTTATTTATTTATTTAGAGGCGACCGGTTGAGTTTGATTATAATTCTGAAGAGAACTCTGAGGATGAGCTGACCCAAACCTGTTCAAGGGTCAGACCTATCAACAGGTTAGTTCAGGGGTGTATAGTTTAAAGAAATAAACCCCCTCCCCATATTTTTTCCCAATTCAGGGCAGCGCAGGAAAAAAAAATTTCTGAACTCTTGGATGAAAAAATTACTTTCAACGAAGGTGAAATTATTTTTCAAGAAAATATATATTACACATACACCAGTATTCAGTACTGGGTTTTGGAGCCAATCTTGGACAATTTTTAAAGGAGTGCAATTTTTCGATTATTTCTTTTAAAAAATCCTAATTTTTAAATTTAGGATTACAACTTAGCCTATGGTACCATTAAAAAAAGATATATTAAGGCAAGAAAATTCTAATAAATAAATAAAATACAAATAAAAACAAAATATCAATAAATCTGTTTCCAGTTTGTTATCAAAGTCTTTCTATTATTTTGTTTTGCTCAAGATCAGTTAAAAGTCATATATCCCAACGCTTTGTGTTGCGCCATTTTCTTAAAAACTTGACCATGGGTAACCCTTTAAACCATAGTGAACACTTATTTGCTTCCTGTTTTTCCTTAGGCTCAACTACTTGGTTTGGTTCATTAAATGATTTTTGTTAATTGCATGTAGCATTGATTTGCTAATGACTTGTAGAAACGTATGTATGTGTATATGTTAGGTATAGCTGGCCAAACGTTTTTTTATTCCACGGGCAACGCCGGGCACTTCAGCTTGTTTATATATATTCTATATATAAATTTGACTTGTCTGTCTGTTTGTCTGTCTGTCTGTTTGTTTTTTTGTATCCAATAAACGTCAAAACGGCTGAACCGATCTGGCCCAAATTTTTTGTGGGACATCTAGAGACCCCAGGGAAGGTTTATGAATGATTAAAATTTCAAATATTTGTCTCCATCAAAATTCGATCTTCATTAAATTTTTGAAAATTTTGAAAATCCACGAAATTTTTTGTGAAAATCCGCGAATT